GTGTGCTCTACTCCTTTAGTAAATAAACCCCACTATGTCCATAGAGTCACTCTTGAGGGATAATGATTTATGTCCTTCCACATACACAGCAGCATATATTACAGCAGGTTTAAAAGAATACATGTTGGTCTCCTTGGATCTCAGCAGTTAACTCTTTGAACTGTAACCACCTCCACCATCATGACCCATATGCCATACACTCCCTTGAGAAGTGATATTCCATCTGTTTGTTCCATATGTTAAAACATGGACAGGACAGGAAAGGACATGGTCACATTAGGAAGTGAAGCTATCATAAAAAAAAAAAAATACTGTTACTGAAAATCAACTGTGGTCTGTGGGGAAAGTTTTTTGCCTAAAACTGGCCATATAACTTACAATAATTATACTGCTTGTTTAATCATTTCTGATGCCAGGGTTTTTCCGGAAAATTAACAGCACTAAATAAATGGCATTTTAATAAAAAAATAGGAGCCCCTCGTCCTAGTGAACAATCCAATCAGATTGATCATTCTCTCTAAAGTGTGAAGTGAACAATTATTTAAAACATTCTCATCTATGATCGATGGCCACTTATACTTGTGTGCAATACCAACATAAGTTAGTACTATCACTACTGTTTTCATCCCTTTGTGCAACCATTTAAACATGTCTAGGGTATATAGGGCATAATAGAAGTCACCAGCACTCGATAATAAGTGCAAGTAAAGCACTTTTTATTAAATTGTCACATGCGTCATACAGCCAACGTTTCGGGGCCACGCAGGGTCCCTTCTTCTGGGCGACATAGTGACAACCACAAATATGCAACTTCAGCTTTTATATAGTGAGACCACACAAAATACACCATAGGGTGTATAGGGAAGACAAATGTGACTAAAACAGTCATATCACCTTGTACAGCAAAGACATTATTATAGAGGTCTATACCATGTCTATTCAAGTTTCGTAGCCAACTATACAAGTGCAAAATAAAAGCAGGTTTAATAATAATGTACAATTCTGTCAGAAGCTGCATTTCAAAGGCATACATTTGAAAATGTGTAACATTTCATACAAAACTTTAGATGGTGATTACCAAATAAAAACAAGTAAAAGTCTAGCTAGTACTGCTTATGTGTATTCCAGTTACAGGGCAGGTTAGCTGTGGTGACCAACTAAACCTAAACGGTCACTGAAGTCTACTACGATGTGTAGAGTAAACGTACGTCAGGTGGTTTGACATACATGTCAGTGAGGAGAAGGCTACAGTGTCAAGAAAAGGATCAGCCTCTCAGGAAATGTCTTCTTATTGTAGCTGTACACAGAGGTAGCCAATATATATTCTGATCTGTTTCTTTCATACAATCATCAATATGCACTAAATGTTTTTGGCAGACATATCTTGAATGTAAATTAGGCAAACCAGAAACGTTGGTAAACCCCTGGTTTTAGCAAAAGCAATTTAATAAAATAGTCTAAAGTAATTTACTATGCACCCACATCTATACAATACCAAATCGTTTACATCAGTGGAAGGCAAATTTTGGAATCACTTTTGTATAAAATACTTGCCAAAAGTGTTAGAATTAATGCAATACAATAACATCCTAGAGACTTCTTTGCAATGCTTTACTGATTCTCCTTGGCATTTCACACTGACTGCAGTGCTTGCTTACAATAAGTTAATACAAATGACCACAGGGACACTTTTCCACATGTATGGGTAACAATTATGCCATCATTCATTTACTGTTTTTCCTATGCATAAGGCAACAGCAAATAATATTATACTAAACACTAACAAAAATAATTGCAATTCTGTAATTCCTATATTGCATAATTTCTAGGTTCTGTTTTCGCCATTTGCCACTGTGTCAGCCTCTTCCTGGTCCTTCCCCAGTGATATCACACCACACACCCCTATCCTTTCTCCAGCACACACCCTCCAGTTTCTCTTTCAGAGACTCTTCAGTCTGCAACCACAAATTGCATGTCCTCACCATAGACCAGGGGTCTCAAAACTCAATTCACTTGGAGGCTACTGGCCAAATTTTCTTCTCACATCGGGGCAGCTCGCCAAGTTTCATAAAATGTCATACTTCAACACAAAGTTTAACTATATACTGTACCAGTGTTAATGTGTGTGTGTGTGGGTGTATGTGGGTGTGGGTGTGTGTGTGGGTGTGTGTGCGGGTGTGTGTGCGGGGGTGTGTGCGGGGGTGTGTGC